ACTCCATCAAAGGGAAGTTATTGTGTCGAGATCAAATATATTTAGGCCCGTATATTGTTACTTGAAAAATGGTTTCAAGCCAGAAGTAAGCTGGCTGGCATATATAGAAGTTAACGTTTCCTTATAGTTTTAAACTTAAGAGCCACGAGTTTATTTGCAAATTGATTTATTACGAAAAAGGATAATAAATTGTTGTAGGTAAATGTGATTCTGCAAATGTTGTGTTTTTACATGAAGAAATGTGTAATATATGATTGTTAAATGCTATTTCTAAATTGCTATGTGGTTCCAATGTTTTCACCTTAGTTTTGGATTTCTGATTTTGTGACAAAAATGAAAAGAAATGAATTGTATTGTAGGCGAAGAAAAAACAAGTTCGGGGCTAAGGAATGGCATGACTGTATAATCTAAAACAAGAAAATGCTTTATTTTGACAGGAGTACGGCTGCGTCTACACCAAGCGAATTGTTTTGTTTTGTTTTTCAATGCAACTCTAATAATTTTGAATCAACCATTCTCCGTTGACGAAGTCAAATTTTCAGAATCAACAGGCAGTAGTAGATAGGCTTCCTTTTATTACGAGCTGACACGACGTAGGGTGGCCGTTAAACTTGTTTTTGGGTGCATAAAATTAAAGCTAGAAGACCTGAGTATGGGAGTTTTGAGTATTTATTCCCAGCTTTGGCAGAGAAAGTTTATGATTTTAGGATGACTACAAAACAATTTGAAATGCTAGTGGAGCTGACTGTATCATTTATAAGGAATCAAACAATATACGCCGAGGTGTGTGTATGTCCTTCACAGACGCGATGCCACGATACCCCCCCAAAGGTCACAATTCGTCATTTCACTCGGCAGAATGGAAAAAAATTACAATTTACTCGGCAGACTTGGTGGTCGGCATAATTTAATTAAGAAGTCAATGATCATGGTTTGTAACTCGAAGTTTTCATTTTCATTTCAATTTGGTCCTTTTCGAAACAACATATTAAAAAGTATGAAGTGTGGATTTAATTTTTTAAATGTTACCCGGTAACCTTGCTCCCGACACCCCCCAAAAAATGTTTTCAAGCGTCGCCCCTGGTCCTTCACTTCATTTGCGAGGGTCCCTCATGGCGACCCGCCAGGCAGGCCCTCGGCCCATCACTAATTTCTCACGACAGGTCTCGTCGAACTACCCAGGCCTCATCCATGTAGGATTGTCTCGTGAGGAGACAATCCGATGAGCTAGGTGCCCGTGTGTATCAAGGAATGGGAGTCCGGAGGGTACAAGGAAGATGTGCGGTTGGGGAGACGGGTATGAAAACAAAGAAGGTTTGATTCTCCTATTTGTGTTGTTTATAGCAAAAGCATGAGGAATGGGAGCTAAACAACACACCTGGATTTATTTGATTCAATATAAGATTGATTGATTACTTGAAATTATATACTGCGTCAACAGCTAAGGCTATTTGCGACGTATGCGTACTAAATGTTAAAAAGATGAAAACTTCAAAAACATGTATGCACAATAAATACAAGCTAAATATGTTTTCATATTTTCATTTACATTCTGATTGATGGTCAATGGTAAAAAAAATGTACCAGACATCTAAGCTCACATAGCATATCGGTAAAGTATTGTGGCGAAAATGATAAAAATGAATTACGATTAAGATTAAGAGTGTTAAATGTCAAAGGCTCTAGTGCTATAGGATAGTATGGCAAGGAAAAGGGTACATAGGGATGCAAACAAAGTAAATCGGAGATTAGTAAAGGAAAGGGCAAAGGGCACAGGGAGATTGCATGAAACATTGCTTTAAGGAAAAGTTGGTACAGGAGCTATTATGAAATAATCAACGGGTAACACGGATAGAGATGGTTGTTGGAGAAGCAACAGGAGAAGAATCTGGGGGATGAGATAAGAGGACTGGAGAAGGTGAAGTATCAGGAAGAGCGTCAGGAGAGGAAGGAATTCTGAGAAGGGCCCTGTTGTGACAGAAGGGATTCATGTGATTATTTAGGTGGGAGAGGTAAGGATAATGGAGAGCGAAAAGGTAATTGTGTACATGGAGAAGGAAAAGATGAGGTGTGTTGGGAAAGAATGGTAGGAAGTGGGGTAAGGGAACTTAGGGGGGGGGGAGGATGGAAATCGGCAAATACTTCGAATGCAGAGGGACTAGGAATAGAGAGATTGGAGCGAAACATTATTTGGGTCACGTCTAGGATTTTTTTGTCTTCAAGAGTTTCATGAGATTTGGGTAGGGAAGTCTGAGAAACAAAGGATCTCTTGTGAGGAGGAGAAGAAGGGATAGATGTTCGAGAAGCAGAGGAAAAGGAGGATATAGGAGAGGGTGTGGAAGGCGAAGATGGAGTAGAATGATTAGGTGCAACAGGTAACGCGAGGGGAAGGGTAGACATCGGAGAAGTGGTAGAAATTGGATTAAAGAACGGAAAAGGGATTTGACTGGGGGATAGGGACAACAGAGTTAGGATAGTTCAGGGTAGAGGGAAGAGATACTGGGGGAGATGCAGAAACATCTTATGGAGATGGCGAGGGGGGAGAAAGGGTAGAGTAGTGGAAGGACGAGGGCGGGAGGAAGATAGGGTGGTGTGGAGTGGAGTAGATCTGTGGGAGGGAGGACAATAAGGATGAAGAGTAGTAATAAGGGAAGTAATAAATGGAAGAAGACTGTGCAGTAGGAGATGGAGAGGAGATTATTGGGAGAGAGGAAGGGGTGCATTCTAGAGGTTGAATAATAACCTGGATGGGTGGTTTGGAATGAATAGAATTGTCAGTAAACGTCGAGGAAGGGGTATCAGTACCAGTGGTCGGAGCCGTGGTCAAAGGAGGGGCAGGGGTCGGAAAGCCATCAAAATCAATTCAGATAGGCTAGTTGAAGGGCAAGCAATGCTTTAAGGGTATTTTTTTCATCGGCCATGGTGAACCTGAATAAAATGGGGCAAAGAAAAGTAAGGGATAGGCAATTAACCAAGAGAATACCGTGGCTATGGCTCCCGAAGGCCGTCCAAGACTAACACAAAGTCAGCCTTTTATCCTTTCAGGAAGCCTTTCACACCTTAGGAATGGGACAGAAGAAGAGGATGAAGATACGGAGGAGGAAAGTGGGAGAAGAAAAGACTAAGCAAAATTAGTTGAGTCGAGGGCTGAGGCCTACGGTAGGAGTGATCCCCTACATTGGCCTCAGTCTCTGTCTCCTAACACCCCCCCCTCCCCCTCCACAACAACGAGCAAGGTATTGGAAGGGAAATGCATTCTGGGAAATTAAATATTCAAGGAAATATATAACAAGTGAATTTTGACAATCATTAGTTGTTAAAATAATTAGTTCCCCAAATTAAAGTCTTCTAACACACTCTTCGGTGTATATGATGGAGATAGGTCTATGGTCTAAGAATTCTGCACACCTTTCCACTGTATGGGTTCTTGGCACCCCTTACGAAGAGGGAATCACCTCCAACCGTTAACCACCCGTGTGTCAGTCTTTTGTGTCCGATTAGCAATTCTATTCGTTCCTAAGGTATTTATTCTCCTATTGGGTTGTTAGAGGATGCTTCCAGTGCACTTTCCACTTCTTACGAATGCAATTTTTGTCACTATGATTTATGTCAGTGTCTGGGAGAGGGAAACGAGCATCACGGATTTTGAGCTGTCTTGGCCCTCTGCTCGTTCGTTCCGACGGGCACAATGCGAATCAGCTTAGGCCACAAGAATGAAAACTGATGCGGTTGTTTTCATTATTCATTCTTTATTTCTACAAGCATTTAAAGAAGAGAACAAGTCATCAAATTACATTTTTGTCCTTGTTGGTAATCATGCCACTTTTCATTCATATTTACTAGAAAACATTATCCCTTAACAGCAAGATGAGAGAGTAGCTTTTGAAGTCCGCAAGTTTTGAATATTGAAATTTTTTGAAAACAATGAAACTTTTTGGCGGGTATTGTTGGGCCTTCGGGCGGTTACCGCGAAACTGGAACTTTGATCCTCATGGTCATTTGGTGATCTTTCATGCTGACTTCACTGCATATCAGTATTGACACACTCTGCACCGCCTTTGGGTGTAACGAGAGAAAGCTGTTGGTGACAGGCTTTGCACTACGAGAGTTGTAATATGTCACAGTGGAACTTCCTCGTTCATATTGACTGCTATGAGCATGGTATGTGACACTGCAGTGAAAATCAAGACTGCTGAAGAAAGACTGCTAACAACAAAATTCCTTCTACACAGTATTGCAAAGCACAGTATGATCTAAGCTCCATTGGACTGGTACAAGGATTAACTTACGAGTATAATGCTGTGAAAGACCTAAATTTTCGTTAGAATAATATCTAAAAATAACAATAGATGAAGGGCACAAAATAAACCGCAATAAAGACGATGAATCAAGGCAAAAGAAAAAATGTAAACAAGCCTGTAAAAGTCAGTAAAACAAAGAAACATGAACAAGACAAAGAAATGAAAGAGAAAATCCAGTAAACGAAGGAAACAAGAAAAGCTAATTATAAGACTTCACGAAATAAAAAATAGAAGAGGGAGAGGGAGATACCTGACAACCCCCCCCCCCCCCGAAAAACGAAAGAAACAAACAAAACTACACAACTGAGAAAAAATCAAAGGCGAAGGAAACAAAAAAAAACAAAAAACTGAGAAATCAGACAAAAACAGACGAAGGAAACAAAATACATAGTATAAGGAAAAATCAATAAGCAAAGACAACGAATAAAAGAAATAGAAACTGAATGAAAAAAAAATATGTTGAAAAGATAAGAAAATGATTTAATCACGAAAAACGGAATAAAAAAGGGGAAACTTTCATAAACTACAACGAATGACCCGGGTAATGATTTTTGTCTAACGAAGCATGTAAACAGATATAAGGGGAAGGGCAGAGGAGAGAAGCGAAGGGCAGGCATGCTGGAACGGGGATGGAAGATAAAAGGACCCATGAGGCCAGGATGAGGGGAGTAATGAGACGTTTAAAGGGAGGGAGGAAGG